AATCACTATAAAGTCTTCCCTAAAGGTCAGTATGTATTCTTTTAATGCATGTAGCAATTGTCTTATTTTCTTTTTTATCATTACATATACATCATTACTAACACTTATTGTATTTATATTTATAATACTACTTTTTGTTAATTAAGCTATATTCCTTTGTGTTTCTTTTTTTTCAATTCTGACATTCAATTATTTATATTTCGCCCGTACATTTAGTAAATTTTATCATTATCATTGTATATTTTGTATTGATTTCTAAATTCAGCATGTATGTAGAATTTCAAAATCCTTCTTTTTTTTCAATATGAATTGTTTCAGCTAAGTTTATTTTGTACTACCTGATAAGGACGATCATGTACATTGTCAACAAATAAGAAGAAGACGTAACATAACATTGATATTCTAAGGAAGTTATGTCAAGAGATTATACGTAGGTATTCATTTTTGAATTTTTTCACTGATTTGATTTGTTTTAAAAATGTCCTTAACAAACAATGACCTGATTTGTTCAAAATGGAAAGTACTTTATATGTTTATTTAGGTAGAAATATTGAAATGATAAGGGTTTTTAACATTGTGTTTTATCTTGAATTGAGGTGAAATTTAAAGGAATAGCAAATAGTAAAATATTTAGGTAGAATAAATAAAATGATTAATAACATCTTTAGCCCCCCCCCCCACCCTGAAAAAAAAAATCAACACGGAATTTTTTGCGCAATATAGTATTAGTCGTATTTCTTATTTGAAAGTACAAACAAACCTGCTTGTAAAATTATTTCATATTTTCCAGGCTTTTTAAATTGACGAATGTTTCTAAGCACTGATATAACATATTGAGTAACAATCGTTCAGTCTTTCATCATAGTCCGGAATTTATTAATTTTATAAGATTTTTCCCCTTTCGGATAAAGGGCGTTTAAAGCTATGCATTTCCATCGGATGGAAAAGTCTCACTGTCATTGGTTTAAACATGACATACCACTGCCGGCTATATTTCTATGTCCGGAAGGTAGGAATTCATATATAGCAATATGGCTTAAGTTTGAATTTCGATATTAAAAATAATTTATTATGGAAACCACTTCCCATCATATTCTTCTTCTTCTTCATTTTTTTTTTTTTTTTTTTTTTAAGAAAAGCTGCCCTTTCAAGGAATGCAGTCAGATTTTGTGTTTCTGCATGGTGTGATGGTAATGTCGAGATTCGCCCAAATGAGAGAAACAAATTATTAAAAACTAAACAAAAGTGCCTAAAAGAATTTTCTAGATTACTTGACGGTAAAAGATGAAATTCATAACTTTGGAAAGTTTGACTGCATGAAATTGGACGAGACTCAATAGTTTCGAGATGTTGGGACACATAAATTCACAGATTTAAAATGTTTTTATCCATTCATCTTGATCATCACTACTTGCAGGCCCGTGGTTTCAGTATTGAGGGCGTCGGAGGTGAGTTGGGAGAAGGGGGTTCCAACTGTTAAAAGAATAGTCTTTTACTGTATATCTTATACCCCCCCCCCCCATTTTGTTTGAAGTAGGGTGGAAAGTGTGCCATGCTATTTCATTAACAAAATTGCAAAAAAATTTAGAGGAAGGTTGGACTCCATCCCAAGTTTTCGCAGTAATTTTTTTTTGTCAATTTCTTCTGTGCCCCCCTCCCCATTCCCCTTTGATAAATGTGTTGCCTGTTTTGTGTTGAAGTTTCTCACACTATGATCCTCGATAAAATAAATCACTTATAGGTTTGTTCCTGACTGTCTCAGCCTCGCCATCTATGAGAATTGATCAATCCGATCCGATATATTTCTCAAGACAATCAGCAATAAATATATTTTTTTATATTACTTGTCCAAGTAACGCCACACACCGGAAAATTCTACTCATTATAAGGCTTTAAAAGAGATAATTCAATTCAAAACTAATATATTCCAGAGAATTCATAAATGTTTCTTTTTTAATTGGGCTCTGCTATGTATGCATTATATGTCACAGGTACATGTAGATGTAAAGGTAATATTTGTCATGTTACACAGTCCATTCGTTGTATTATAATTTATTCATGAAAAATCTGAATTAAAATCAGGAAAAAAAAAAAAACAACATAAAAGGGTTGTCCATAAAGTTCGTGGACAAATGCTATAATTTTCTATATTTTGACCGCACTGGCAAAGATATACAAAAATATTTTAATAGACACTAAAAGCATACACACTATTTTACGAAGGTGAAAGGTGTAAATACTGTGTATATACAAGCCCCACGACCCAATCTGACGTACAGCTAATTTCATGATAACGTCAAAATATAAATTTTTATTACATGTTCATCGACAAAGGCTACATTTTCTTTTTTATGCCACGCTGCAAAATATGTACGATATTGTTTATGAATAAAACATATTGTCCCCCGCTTTCGCGAAAGCGAGGGGACATTAAAGAACTTATCCATCGTTTCTTCATTAAATGTGAAAAGTATCATTAAGACCTAAATAAGTCATTGTCGAAAACGCGATAAAGAAATTCGCACGCATGGCGAAGTTCTAAGTTGTTAAACCTACGCATTCTCACCTGTTGAAAAAATCAATAACGCAGTACAGTCAAGGTGCCAAATGGAAATATCGGCGATTTTTTTTAGATAGAAAATACATTCTTTACAAGGATGGACGATTCTTTTTAGGACTTTACTATTATAGGACAAATGCAATGTGGTTGAAAACGACATGTTGAGGACGATTAGATTTCCTATTTAGACTTGTCATGTGATTTGGCAGTCACGTGATTTTAGCAAATATACCTGAAGTATTGAGGTCATCTACAAATTCCAATATTGCAAGGGCATAACCAAGTTAAAAATCTAAGTTTAATTTATAATTATTTTCAACACTATTTGTAGTTTGTGAAAAGTGCTGCGAACCTATTTAGATTCTACTATCTAATTGTAAAAATTACATTTGTTAGACCGTATGTTGAATATCGCTTGTCAAGTACATTTAATATAGATATAATTAATTCATTTGCAAGAATTTAACAGGTTCGCAGCACTTTTCAAATATCTTCATACTTCTTGAGTTTATGTGTAAAAGCTTGTCATGATTCATTGAGGGTATGCCCTTGCAATATATCGATTTATTACGACCTTTCTATTACCCTTCAATAAATCTGCATACAAATATACGGTGGTATCGCTTGTGTAGTGAATGTACGGTAAGTATATTAAAAAAAATTATAAAATAGACATCGCATCCAAGTTAAGGGCCTCTTATATATCTGCAAATAATATTTTATTTAATTACAAAATACATTTTTCATTGTATAATATATAACTTGATCCGCCTCTCACTGCATACAAACTGCGTCAAATTTTACGATATGACGTCACATTGACAAGTGCAATGCGATCAGTGAATTGTTTATATATCGCTGTGTGGGATTTAACCAACTACAAAAATGCATGCAGTAGTTAGTATTGATGTAGTTTAAAGCTATCCGAAAGTTTAAAATAGCAAATCATTTCATTTTGTGGTAATTTGAAGAACTTGTATTTTTGTGTGATGTCATAGTAAGCATAAATTAGGCCCCGCCTCCTTAATGCAGCCTTAACTGTGCTGCGAACTCGGTCAAGTGCGACTTCCGGTATACGGGGAAACCCTAGTGTGACGTCACATTAGTGAGACATGGCTGAAGCATCAAACGACTCCGAAGACTCCAAGCTATCTGTATCACTTTCGTGCCAATCGCCAAGCTTTGATGAAGATTTTGATAATTGTTTGGAGACACCTTCAGTGGCTCCGTATCAGTTTAAGCCGTATTTAGACTCTGATACAGAACATCCCACTCAACAAAGTCAGGATGATCATGATGATGGGAATCCCGATAATAGCCGGCTTAACAACACTGATTGGTATTATTAACTTGATTATACTTTTTTTTTTAATAACATAATAAACATAAATAATTCTGTAAGATTTTTTAAGCTACGTATATGCCCTTTACTATAGATTGTCTAAAAGAATTACACCCCCCTTCCAACAAATAATGCACGTGTTTACATAAAAATTATACATAATTTTCAGACATATATTGCATTTATCTAATAATAAAAATACACGTCTTCATATTAATTTTTAGAAGAAACTTGGACATATAATTTCATAATACATGTACTATACATGTATATGTTGTGCATTTCTGTCCATTAGAGCATTTGGTAATACTTTGTAATTGCTATTCTATTATATTCTATGATGCTGTATTTATTTACATAAAAAGAAATAGAAAATGAGTTTTTTAATGTAATTTCAAAATTGACAATTGTGTATTTGAAAAAAAAATACAAAATATATGCAACAATTGAGAATATTTTAATTTTTTTAAGTACATTTTAGGTGCAGCTGTGGTGGATATTGTATGCAGATTCCTTTAGCAAAGGAATGTGTCTCTTTCAAAGAAACAAGGGTCCTCTTAAATCTTATGAAAAATGATGGTGTCCAGTGTATAACAGACCACCCAGGATTTGAACCAGTGTGCTTGAATACATATGTACTGGACACAGCATACAACCAATATAAGCAACGGTACAATCATCAAATTCAGAATCTGCCAGAGTAAGTCGAGATGAAAAAAAAAATATAAAAGAGGAACAAATATGATTTCATAAAATAGCAAACATCATAAGTAGAATAATTAATGACTATAATTTAATATGTGTCCATTTCCAGGCGATACGGGTACACTGCCTACAGACAACTCGTCAGATGGGCCTGGGGATACCTCGGGAAGCATGTGAGAGTGGTTTTGTCATCATGTGCTCTCAAGAAAATCAGAGGCAGATTCCCGTCTCCACAAGAGGACTATGTTGGTTTAAAGGAAGCAAAGTTAAATTAACAACAACCATCATCACTCATTCCATCATCATTTTGAGCATGCCTATAACGTGATGTCATTTCTAAAATTGCTGATGCTTTATCAGTTTTTCAAATGAACTGCATAGAGGAGGTGGTGCTGCAACTCTGTACACTTCTGCCTGACTTAATTTTGTTTCTTTGGCATTTTTATATACAACGTCCATGATCTTACTGACATAATCTACAAGATATAATTGTACTGTAATATGTTTTAGTTAAATATTATATATCTAGTCATTACATACTCTACAATATGTACAACCAGTTTTCACTTCTCGTATTGTGTATCCACCCTTGAACTTTGGGTACACAATATTGTACTGTGGTTGTCCATCTTTTGTTACTGCTTGATCTCTCATCCCATTTTCATTGTAATAGAGGGCAGCAAGTTTTAATCTGAGATTATATAAATAAATACTTTTTTGTTTATCTTCAAGTTATTTTTTTAGTGATTGAGTTTAGTGTTTTTATATTTCTTTTACCTGCTTAACATTCAATGGTAGGAAAACCCAAACATCTTTGGAGCAAAATGATTAATGACAGAATGAAATCCTTCCAACCTTGCAGTTTGGGCTCCTGGAGAAAGTTTCGGAATGTCTTTCTGCATTTGTTTTGACATCACAAGCTACTCTAATTTAACGCATGTTTTGCTTCCTTAAGAATATTTTGCAAATTAGTTATTTTTTTTATTTTGTATTTTCTAATTGAATGTTAAGCTTTAGTAACACTTGCCTTTTTTCAACCATTTCTTTTCTCTTTCGCGTCCCTCTAGGGGTCCATGGTAACAAGACTGAAAAATATCTCCATCATGTTCATGAATGTTTTACACATGATTGCAGACAGATTGCCACTTCTCCAGCATCAATTGCCCTTGACCACTTGGAGTTGATGCTGGGACCCAGGGTTGTAGGGACTCGCAGTCCTTGAGCTTGGTAAGAGCTGTTAGTTTCTTCTTAAAACCTACAGATGTAAAACATAATCATTTTCTAAATTGTTTTTTTTTTTCTATTTCATTGTATTCAAATATAATATTTCTCTACAAATGAACTGCGTGGATTATTTTGAACTCATACCTTTAGCAACATGCCAAACATTATAGTCATGGGTTGTGTGAGGCATGTTTTCTCGGACATGTTTTTGTATCTGAAGATGTCGATCAGTTATAATTTTCTCTATTTTGAGGCCTTTGCTTTCGATGTTATTAATACTGCGTATAAATCCCCTTTCTCCATATGATAGCTTCCTTGAACTTCATTGCTCTATAAAAAATTCTATTGCTGCAGGAAAAATTCGAATTTTAAATTGAAAGTTAAAATAATTGCAGAATTTTTTATTACAATTTTTAAAACAAAAATCAAACCTGAACAAGTTGAATATCTATGACAAGCATTAGATCCATGTCTAGCATAGCATACATGTAGCTGCCATATTTAGCCGAGTGCCCAGGAGTGTCAGCTCTACCATCTCCACCTACAATTAAGGGATCTCCTTGTTAGGTCTTTTTGATTAAAATAATTATTCTGAAAACCCTTCCATATTGTCGAAACAGCTGGATGGAGATAGTATTTCTGTGTTGGTGAAAGGTACTTAATGCTATGGCAGCAACATTCATATGTTCCAAGAAACGAAGCGCTTTGCTTGGTATAAGGCCTACCATAAGAGATATGATAATACATTCGTTGTTAAAACATTTGTATTTAGCATAATAAATATAAAAATTGTGCAAGCTAATTAAAAAGTACCTGAAAACAATATGGCTGCTGACATGGATAAATTTCCTGACGGTAAAGATCCAATCATTTCTTGGCTGTTCCAAGTTCTTTGAAATCCACATATACCACAACACTGGTCAAACTTGATCATTGTGCCTGAAACTGGTCTTACTTGGCAAAGTGTACCAGATGTACAAGTTGGACAGATTGAAAACAACAGCATCAATTGCGACTCAGACACGATGTATTTCCTGTCCGTTTTTTTTTTTGTATGGATTATCATCACTACAAATGAAAGTTTGTTTTTGTATTAATTCATGTATATTTGTTTGTCCAAAACTGTACTTTATTTGGGTAAAAAAATCTGATAAATATTTTAGCTAACTGGTCGGACCCATCATCTGAAGAAATTTTAGAATATAGAAATTCTTCAGCTGACTCTGGACAGTAGTCCGTGTCGTTGTCTTTGTCTTCATTTTCATCCACACTGGAGGGAACACAAAGATCATCTTGCTCATCCGTGCTCATACTTATCACTCTGCATAGTTTAGAATTATCTAAAAATAATAAAGCGATGAATATTTAGGTTGTTGATTTTTCATATGTACAGGTAAACTTCGATATCTCGAACTTGGCGGGACTGAGGAAAAACTTCGAGATATCCGAGTGTTCGAGATATCGAAGTTGATGAATTTGGTACCGATATTGTTATGTTACATGTTCTATTAACAGACCCCCCCTCCCTTTCCACCACGTGCATAATTCAAGCGGTAAATGTTTTAGTTCGTACTTAGTGATTATCTTTTTAAAAATACATTTGCATATACACTTATGCATATATTATTTTATTTAATACTGCAATACTTACATTTTACAAATTTCGATCGCTTTCAATAGCGATAATAATGCTGGTTTCAGGATTTCTGATACCCGGATATGTGTTACGCTTTGTAAATGATAAACCGATCACTGTAGTAAGGATTAAAACGGAAACAGGAATTATCGTTCTACAATAATTTATTCTGCATTTTTTATCCATGTTGACAAGGTGTATGGAGAAATTTCTAATTTCTTTGCTATAGCTGCCTTGGATTCTGTACCTTTTTCGACTTCTGTAATAGCCTGAAACTTTGTTTCGATTGTATGAACTTTAAGTTTTCTTTTTACACCACGGTCAGATAATCTAACTATCCCCCCGGGTTGGCTACCGGGTCCTTCGTTAGATTGCTTATCAGACATGATGTGTACTGAAGATTTAGATTTTTGGTACTGACTTTTATACTAAAAATAATGTCTTTAATTTTTTTAATTTCTTGAGTTCAATATCACTTTGATGTGTTCAGTGTTTACTTTGATATGTAATAATGTGTATAAGCGTGCATTTTCGATAAATTTAAATTCTTATTACAGTAATCGTCCCCAAGCCGCTGTTTCATTATCGTGTCATCATATGTCTGAGTGTGCATTTTATTAACATCCCCAAATCACCTGGCCTGCGTAATTAAATTTAACTACCAAAAACAACAGCTTGAGGCTAATAAGTTGTGATTATCAGCAATGGTCCCGTGAAGCCTGTGCTAGACCTAACGGACACGTTCAACAGACCGTAAAATTAGCATAATTGGATTATTTTATACTAAGGTTTGAATTCAGCGGAGCTGGACTTCGAGATAACGCATGTGTTTATAGCACTTGGGACCGTAAATCTACTTCGAGATAAGCGTAGTATTCGAGATTTCCTCCGTGTTCGACATACCGGGGTTTTTTAAAATCATAAATATAATAAAAATGGCCGGGACCGTTGATTCACTTCGAGATATCCGTGGTATTCGACATATCGGTGTTCGAGATACCGAAGTTTACCTGTAATTTAAAAATGAAAACTTTATTTTTCTAAAATCTTTATTGACCTCTCACTTCCTCAAGATATCTATTTCACTGAACTGCAATGCTGCAAACCTTCGGTTTATAGCTTGGAAAGTCACACTGCACAACTGTGAAAGGAATAAGAGAAATACTTGTAATCTAATGGTATCTATGCACAACAAATCATAAATGTACTCACCCTTCTCACAATGTTTAAATTTTGTTTGTATTTTCTTGGACCTTTGATGGGGTACACTGCAGTACACTGTACTCCTACAGAGCGTTCTGCCTGTCAAGACATTATTTTTTTTTTAAAAAAAGTTAACGATTTAATAGGTAATTAATTTCTGTAGATAAAACTATGATAAAAACCTCATTTGAATTTAATCTATCCTCTATGTTCTCTGCAAGTTCTTCTGTCTCCAAATTCTGTTTTTCAATGTTATGTGTGCTATTGTCCAGTAACTAAAACAGGAATTTATAATAATCATATGCTAAGTCTTTTAATTGTTAGCATATATATTGCTAAATTAATTAGTCCTTGATAAACATCATTTAAATTTAAACATCATACAAATTATGCAATACCCGTTAACATTCTCTTTTCCTAAATGCTCCTCTTAGTGGTCTTGATGCAGCCACCGTTACACCTATGTTGGGCACGTGTGTGACATCCATTTTGCTGGCATCGTGAATGGGGGCATCTGAGGACGTCGCTGTATTAGGCGAACGAACGGTGGGCACAGCATCAGGTAGCAGACATTTCTTCTTTATCTCAATACCTAGGAACTGTTTGATTCTGTATTCCTCTGGGTAGCAATTTGGTGCTAAATGACCTTCACATAAGACAGAAAACCTCGTGGGCTGAGTGAAGTTTTGAAGCTTTGTTTTACAAAATTTATCCATTTTCGTCGGAGTTCACGTTTTATTTCCTTTGGAAATTCGTGAAGTGAAATATTATCGGCATTAATTGACGTACAGCCCGCTGCTACACAATACTTGCCAGTTCTTTTCTTTTCTTTCGGCATGGCTAAGCTCTTTGTTTACCTTAGAGTCACTAATGTGACGTCACATCCGGAAATTCGTATTTTTAGACTTCGCATTCAGGTGTGTAAAAATAGATTTTCAACGAAAACTTGCTTATGCATTGGTGTTTTAGCTTGAGTAAGATATCAAATTAATCAGCAAATCATTGGTTATTTGATAATGCTAATTTTGATACACGATGGATAAGTTCTTTAATGTTTTAAAATGAGCATAATATCAAAAAGTCTTACGTTACACTTTAAAAATCAGTGTATCTCGGGAAAGATACGTTTTAACTATCTCATTGAAATTTTTCAATCCATATCTGTTTTATTTTTACTGATTTTCTTAAACTTTCCCTTAGTTTGAGTCAAAGTAATGAATGTCATGCAAGATGATTGTGTATGTTTTACTTGTACCTATGAAGATATTACATCCGTCTTCGATTTATATTACACCTGTAAATACCTTGGCCTTAAATTGAAAAAAAGGTATGTCTATTAATATAAATAGATGATTTTCCTTCAAATTCTTCACTAGGTCGAGTCGTCGGTAAGGCAGCTATGGCTCTTAGGCAAAAGTTCTAAACTTCCCCTACATGTGAAATATATCTTATTTAAATATTTCTCATCTTTGTATGTTTACAGTAAATACTCTAAATATACAGAGACGAACTAAGAAAAACATACTGTGTCTTAAGTACATATATATGGTCAACTAAGCAATTTTAAAACACAACATAAGAAAATACATATCTTATGTACAAAATTGTTACTAGTGATAAAGGATAATGTTAACTTATTTAAGAGTTCCTCTCTTCAGATGTACACTTAACTGCATGTGCTTCAATGCTTTTTTTAAGATCAAGGTGTATATTGTTGCTGGTTATTAATAAGATAAATCTACAGTCCTGACTTCTGTCGTACTGTTTTATTTTGGCGATACTTGTATTAGTGACGGTAGGGAAAAACAACGGATGCTCAGTGTTAATGCAAATTCTCTTCTTAGAAATAGTTACTTCCTGGTGAAGGGTGAAGTCGATTACATTACTTATGTACATCCTTCCAACACAACGTTTAGTTGAATGCATTACTGATATAGCCTTATTCCAAGTACCTTTAAATATAAAAATGTGATGCTTGTTCATATTTTCTAAAGTATACTGTTTTGGGAGTCAGATCTTATTTTCTTTAAACAAAAATACAACTTTTCGTACAACAAAATATTTCAAAGTCTTAAGAGAGTGTGATTAAGGATGTTTATGATAATCTTCTCACTGAAATACAGATTCTGCATTTAATATGCGTGATTGTAATTTCGTCAGAAAGTCACACGAAGTTAAGAGGCCTAGGTTAGAACTAAAGTTCAAAAAAAGTTGCCTTAGCAAATGTAAATACAAATCTAAAACAAATTATATTAAGAAATAAGTACTCTTTATAGAGAGTCACATCTAAGAACAATTATTACTTCCTTATAAAGATGAGGACATTGTTTACATATGTATTATTTTCCTATTCATAACCTTCCTGTACCGGTTAAAATCTTATTGCAGGATTGCATAGTCCTAGAAGTACAGCTTCTTCTTTAGATTAACAACTAATATTTACATTTATTTCTATAGTGACTTTGCTGAAATTCACATATACTGTGTTTTCAATAGTTTAGAAGTATCAAATCCCCTGATTTTATTCAAAGAAAAAAAATCATTCATTTAGAAATTCTTTGACGGCTTCCTCGTCCTGTTTGTGGTTCATTGATTCGTGGTCCTGCTCCAACACCCCCCCCCCCCACGTCTTTTTTTAACGAAAATAGATTTAACTTCAGAATCATAAAAGAATCTAATAAAATTTGTTCACCGACTCCTCTCTCGCAGGAAAAGGGGCAAAGACTGTATGTATTTTATGACGGCTAAATCCTGTTGGCTACGAAGAGGTGTACCAGCCATAAGCCTTAAAGCCTTGGCTAGACATTTAAAAATTCAAAACACTGCTTCCAATGTAAAAGCAAGAGTAAACAGAAATTCTCCAAAAGTTATTTTAAATAAACTTAAATATGTAAACAAACCAACATCTCAGTGATTTGTATCATCATAATACAAATAAAACATCCCACTTTTTGTTCTCAATCGCACTTTTGTAAAAGGAATTTATGGTAGAAAAGTGAGGCAGAGATCAAGAATAACTTAGCTAGTTTTTATGGTCCAGGAGCCAGAAAGTTTAAATACATGTATCAAGATTTATTTCTACAGTTTATTTTTACAAAAATGTGTATTTTCTTGTGAAAGCGAATTGCTCACTTTGACATATTTATTTTAAAAATAATTGTAAGGTTTTGACATCACATATAACATAATATGGCTGAAAATATAATATTTATGAGAAACGAAGAGAAAAAAATAATTCAGATTTTTTTTTTTTGATATTTTTTTTCTTCCGAAACAATCAACATTTTACTATTAAGAAAACACTGATCTATAACATATTCAAGGACTAGATGTAAGACATAGGTATCAAAAGGTCCTACTGAGTAGTCAATTCAAGGTTCATATGTGTGTTCCTTTGCTCAAGAGAACTAGCGTCTGGCATTTGTAAGCGTTGATATTCATTGTTATCTCTAGAGGCAGTTAAATCTTGATACATGTAGTTATTCATATTCTCCTGTACATCTTGGATGTTTTGCGTTCCGTTATTTCCCGTGAAGGTTTTATTTGTCTTATTTTTTTTTTTTTTTAATCTTTTGCCTGCAATGAAATAAATGAATAATTGGGTAATATTTTATATTAATAGATATATTTCTTTAAGAATACGTTAAGTGTTTTTTTTTTCAAGAAAGATCATAAACATGATAGAAAATGAAATTTTAAAGATCGCTGAACGTAAAAAAAAGCTATCTATACATACATATAATGCAACTTTTAAAAAGACAGATATTCATTTAATATTAATATCGCTATATTTATTTATAAAAAAAATCGATGTCTTCAAAAGCTTGACTTGCAAAAATAGTGAAGTTGTTAAATGCATTAATGAAACACAATTGATGTTTTCAAAGATTACGTCTAAATCTGTATATTTTACCTCTCGCGGTATCCTTACTATTTGTATCTACGTATCAGATAGATAGGGTGGCCATAACAGCAAGGATGATAACAAAGACAAGCACACCAGCAATCCACACAGCAGTTATAGTGACTGATGAAGGAGTATCAGATAATTGAAATACTGTAAAAATCCCTATTTCAAAACAGGAAAACGGGTATTATTTATTACATAGAAATAATACAAAAATTATAGCAAATTATTATATTGAGGGTCATTATATCCCTTTATCTATAAACCAACTACAAAGTTATTTCAAGGTATTTTTTAAAATTATTTTCACCTGTAAGAAGGTAGTAATAAAAGAAATAATCGCAAAGATTGCAAATGCTCAAATGTTTAATTTTAGAACGTCTTTGGAAAAAAAGATTAAATTAAATGCACGATATGTTGGAAATAAGATATTTTTGAAAATAAACCATTATTTGCACTCTTTTGTATAAAAAAAATTTGAGCAAGGGAAGCAACTATAAAATATTTTTATTGTAAACATTTAGAAAATCATGTTTTATGACTTAAGAGGGATAAACAACTGAAATGTACGTTTAATAATTTTAAAGAGACGAATTTTTTGCTAGGTGATAAATATTGAAAGCGTGTCTCTGAGAAAAAAAAAAACATGCAAAATCTGAAAAATTGTCCAGGAGGGTATACAGAACTGTTCATTTTAACATATATCTTTAAGATCTAGGTAGTATCAAGGTTTAAAATATAAATTAAGAAAGTGTGCTATTTGTTTTTTTTTTTTTTTTTTTTTTTTTTTAGTTACAACCCGGTTTCTATATTTAGCAATAATTGACATAAAAGAGTAAGTTTGAACCTTACAAAACCACTGCAAAATAATTGTCAGCAAATACAATCTATCATTAAGTAAAATGCTGTCTGTCGTTTTTCATACTGATTGTTATAGACCATTAATATTATTTACACACTGAATTGTCCACAGATTTTTCCATTATTTCCCGATTATGACAAGGAACACACGAGAGGTGTGACCGGTCGGCAGGGGATGCTGATAATTTTCTATTTATTGAAAAATTAGATACGTTTTCATTCTACTTATCTGTACGAACTACATCCTAGTAGAGAGAAATTTCAGCATGTTGAACATGATACATGTAGCCTCTC